CTAATAAAGAAATTAAAGATGTACCACAAGCATAGCATGAGACTGCTACTACGTACATAAATACGGACCTTGTTACTATGAAAACTAAATCAAGCAGTCGAGGAATCGAATGGCATTTGAATCGATGGCATTTTGGGTTAATCGTTGTACACTGAGCCTGCGATGGGCTAACGCAAACTCCATTTCTCGACGAAAACAGAAAACAGAAAACTAGGGATTTAAGACACTTGACCTTTCAGGTCAGTGTAATAACCGACTGCCCTACATGTTGCCCCATTCCTTTTAGAGTTTGTGCCGTATAGTGATTAATAAATTTGATCGCGTGTCATGCCAGGGCCAAAGCTAGAGAAGAAGGAAGTCATGTCGAGAGAGTGACAAATATACTCTACTGATACTAGCTTGTCAAGGAGACTACTTTCGAAATCTCTTCAAACCCATCAGTAAACAGCACATTTTATATAAGCATTATTTTCTTTTCATTGATTTAAATTATTTAATGTTCTCACTTATCATCGTACTAGAAAATATCACATGCATATCTAGTTCTAATTATCGGCGAGCAAGTTCGCGACATTTCGAGACTGCAAATTTTCGTGAAAAACAGATATTTGATATTTGAAAAATAATATCTTTTAGTGTTTTTGCACAAGTGAACATAACCGAAATCCTACACGTTGATTGGTCAAATTTGACGTATTTTAAAGCTGTTATATTCACCTACAGGTGAATATAACACTAATTCACCTACAGGTAAATATAACAAAACCGAAATTTTCAAAATGGCGGCAAGCCGTTTTGTGGAAGTTACTGATAAAGAAATAAGCGAAATTATAACAAATTCAGGCTCAAAACAATTCCCAAAAACACAAAAGACTTGTGTAAAAATACTAAAACAATTATTCGCCTCAGACTCGGTGATTATCAGGGAATATTCACCTCGACTTCGTCTTGGCGAATATTCACCCCGATAATCACCTCGCCTTCGGCGAATAATTGTTAAATATAGAATCAGAACAAATCGAAAGAATGTTGGTTTCCAAAGGAAGAGGGCTTGTACATAATTCGAAGTTTCTTCGCCTAAGACATAATAACCTTAATGTTGAGAAAGAGTAAATATAATGGCAGCTATACACACGTAAAAACGTACAAGTTGTAACAAACCTGCAGCAGACTTGTATTGTATAGCAATCCTGTTTCAACAACTTGTCAACATCCACAATTAACAAGATTTGTTTGCACTGCTTCTTCCCAGCTTGTCATAACAGGTTGATTGTCAACGGCTTATTGCCCTGCAATTTTCTCCAAGGTTGTTCAGTTCAACAAACTTGTTACAAGTTTATTTTCTGTGTGTTAGTGTTATGTACTCGGGTAAATTTGTTCCAAAAATTTGTTATCGGCCTGCAATTCAACAATTTGTCAACAAGTTGTGAGTGACAACCTTGTATAACAACTTAATAAAATAGTATAGCATTGTTACAACTTGTTGAAAGCTTGCTGACAAGTTGTGAAATTTTTACGTGCGTACACCTAGCTATACATGCTATATCAGTGTAGGACTCACAGTGGAACAAACTGCCAGTCTGCCACTCGATCGTTGTTAAGTCTGCCTCGACAATACTTAGTCTTAGCAGAATGTGTCAGAATGCAACATGCATTAAATCAAAACTGAAACATTGAATTCCCTGCCTCGAATGTTGCTGAAGGGATCTTTAAACGAGAAACAAGGTAATATATGAGTAGGCTATCTACTAATAAAATAATGGACTTTTAATAGCTTAGTATTAATTGTAATAATTACGTAATTCAGCCTTCATGGCTGCAAGGTAATTTCATTAAATTTTTGTTTAGGCGCCTTGATTAAATATTTTGATTGATTGATTGATTGCATGATTAATGTCAATGCCCCAGTACATAGCCTAATTTCCTATTATATTGTTATATTGTATGGTTCTTAACTAGTAAGTAGTAGCTTATGTTTAGTAGTTTTTGTTATTGTAATATAGATTTCTCCACCAATATATGCTAATATAAAAAGATTACTAATTTATATGTCGTGCCTTTTTACTATATACACTAGCTCTGGCTTGGATATGGGCAACCACATATCTGTGCTCACGCGACGTTAAATAAATCATTGCATTTGATTACAGTCGTCTGTGACTCTGCATGCGTGAAAAATTTATGAACAGGATCAATTCTGATGTTTTGATCTAAAACCACTCGTCATGCATGCAGGAAGTATTCACTCTGAGATTTGACAACTGATTCCAGTGACTCCAAAAAACCTTATAATAAATTGATAAAATTAATTGGCAAGATTGAAATGTTTTTAAGTTCAAGTACTTATATATTATTGAGAGCCAAATCAGTTGATCTAGACTTTTGTTAACCGGCCTTAAACTTGCGGTTTATGGCAATCATTTTAAGTGAAATCAATTAATAATGTATATCTCCACTGACGAGCACGCCAACTGGCATATATATAAGGACCAGCCGTTGACACAGATGTATCAGTTGTTAACCACACGTACTTGCTCGCGGTGGGAGTTGCTATTTTCAATTCAACAAACTAAGTAATCAAGGTTTGTATTCACTTTTATTTTTTGTTTTATATCTCATGTACATCGTGTGAAGTTATTTTTATCTCAGTTTGGATTAAATCTAAATTCAATTCATAGTGAAGCTTCGACTTGCGTTTTAGCTGAGCCGCGTGAAATGCTAAGCAATCATTTTAATTAGAGAGAAAATTTTACGCCTTAAGTCCTCAAACAATAGGTTATAGTAATGCAAGGCGTATGAAGTCCACGTATATGCTGATTAATAATGTGGATTCGTCTGCTATAAGCCTTAGCCAAATAAACTTATTTAACACGCTGAGATTTATTGGATAATTAGGTTTTGAAATTAGTCCACACCTTGCCGTGTAGTTATATATGCATATAATATTATATAGGTAAACAAACATACAAGGCAAAGTTATCAAGATGAAATGAAAAATGCATTTTCCCGCATAATTGCCGAGAATCAGTCGTTTCCTTTGTCATGGAAAGCATATACAAAAAAATAAATGTTCAATATTATCTGCAATTAAAGTGCGAATATATAATATTTTATATGAAACTGAAAATTTAACAATAATACAATATGAAGAAAAGCGTTTGAAAGGATGTAATCAGTTTTAATTGATCGAGGCATGACCGTTTTAACGGTTGGGGCGAAATCAGGCATTTTAACGGATAGCAAACGAATATAAGAGCCTTTAATAAACATCTCATGATAATAAGAAATTACGCGCGTGACTGCATGGTTTATAATTAAAAGTCACGCCGGGTTATACTTTATTTTTTTGTGCATGATTAAAACTGACGATATGGTTATAAAACTTTTGATTTCCACTTAACCAATTTACATTGTATCCAACAACAATCAACCTGCAAATTATATATAGTCCTATTTATGACAAATATATATTGTTCATTCGTTCAACTCAGTGGCTGATTTCTCTTTCCCTTTCTTGAGGTTCATCGGTTTTAAAATATACGCATTTGTACTTAAGTAAAAAATTGTTTAATGAAACGATTCTAGGTCTGATTGCGATCGATTTTTCAGATCAAGAATAAGATGAAGAGCGCACTGGTTGTTTTGCTGATAGCTCAAATGATTGTGGTCCCGGGTATGACTCGCAATGTGGCTTTCAATGATTATCTTGCTGGGAGAAGATGTCCAGCGCCAGCTTGCGACGGTTAGTGCTTACTTCATATCTCAGTAGACACCTGACTCATTAATACGGTATAGCGTGGCCATAGTTGATAACGATAGCTACATTTCGATTGTCGGCTTGATACGCGTGGTAAATATCATCTTAGCCGATTTCACAAGAGACATTGCTTGACTGTACTAACTCGAATGCTTTGGGAGAATATATAGAAACAGATGGCAATTAAATACTATTTGCCATCGTTTTAGTCGCAAAGCGTTCTGGTATAGGAAACGTCATTATGAATAGGGGTCATTGCAAAGTCGTGTAAACGTTGCATTATGATATAATCATCATATTTTTTATCTTTATTCGATTTGTATAATCGCGCCTGACTCTTTCAAGTGTTCAAACCTTCACAAACATCAACATTTGAACAGTCCAAAACTAAAGCGCAAGGCCAACGGGTGCAAGGATGGATGTCTTCAAAAACTCCCGTTCAATTCCTATGGCTATGGGAATTTATTCATTTAACTTGTGAATATCATCCTTTCTAATATTCGTAATAAAAGTTAACTATTCAAAATCTGCCTCCTCTGAACAGGCGTTCGCATGCAGGTTAATTGAAAATTGAAATTTGAGACTTCGAAGGATGCGGAGGATCAGTCGGAAAGTATTGAATATTACTCAAAATTTAAAATTCAAAAATAATTTTTTTTTGATAAAAATCAACTGATATATAGCTATTTAGTAAAGTAAATACACGCGGTAAAAATACGTGACATCAATCTAAATGCTCTTCTTCTTCTAATTGCTCTTCTTGGCGATCTCTGCACTATACGTTCTACCGGCTTTAATTAACTTAAGTAAATTCTCATGCACCCCAAACTTTCATGTATTGTATAAGAATTTTGTTCTTCCTTGTGCAGATGTATGATCAGAATATGATGAAAACTTCAGTGAGATACACGTTGCTATACTTTAGTTATTTCGTGATGAATACCGTTTCATTGCCTATGGTATATAAAAAATTTATAATCTGAGCCTGAGGATCGAAATATCGAAGTTGCAATCATATACATTCTTAGAACTAACGAAACTTGAACCAACACAGGGGTATAGAATTAATAATCGAACTATATCAGTCATATAACTAAGACTCCATTAATCTTTATGAATAAACTATAATATTGTTAAATAAATTATTTCAAGAATTTTCATAATAATTTAAAATCAGGGCAATATACTGTTAAAAAAACTGCAGAGCATGTACTTAGTATATTGTTGAGAAATTAAGAAGCTTTCCTCCTGGCAAAACTTTTGGGTGAAAAATTTTCTGAATAAGGAATAAATATTAGAGCAATAGCTGAATTCCCAAATCTAGTGCATTCCGAAATTCCCTTCTTCAAGTCTTAGAACATAAAATACACGTAAAACAACGAACTCTCGCATGTTCAAATAAATGATATTTTATATATATAGTCTCTCAATTTTGATAAATTCAACAAATCGGCGTTCTTAAAATGCTCATAACATATTCTGTAACACTCTAAAGTTCCTTTTTAACAGAATGCATTCTATACTTTTTAGATGAAAACAATTGTTATGTGGTATGCTATGAATGCCAAGCTTCTCGGGTTTTCTCTGATATTTGTCGTGAATGTCAATTGTGTGAGAAACAAGGAAGGCGTAATGGTTTAATCAGATTGTAGATACATACTAAGGCACATGAAGTAGATCAAGCACTGGTCTCAATATAATTGACAGTCTAGTTAATTAATACAGTGACGTACAATTATTGTACATTGTTTTCAATAATCCTAATAGTGTGAAATGCCAAATAAATAAATAAATATAAACTATACTATAGTATCTGTTTCTATCTAGGGGGTGTTTTTCTTAACTGAGAAATTCTACGAAAATTTAACAAGCTTTCGTTGGATCACAGACGGCCCAATCTTACGTATACCCTGTGTTATTAATTTATTACGTTATATCTTTATATAAATAGTATATTGAAAATCATTAGAAAATCCTGTGTTATTAATTTATTACGTTATATCTTTATATAATAGTATAATGAAAAGCACTTACATGTGTTTCCTGAAAGATTTTAACGAGAACCGGCCAAGATTGGCGTTGACAAGAGGTTAACGGTCATAGTTGGGGTTGACATGAGGATTAACAGCAAGAAATAATACAATTAAGGCTGGTCACTTTGACCGTTAATTGGACTAATTGGGACAAACGCTGACAGAAATCAATCGAATAACGCGAACTTCGGTTGTCGCATCCTCGCCAAATTACGTTACATCGGAAGCTAAGAGCGATAATTTTTACATATTATACTTTTCTTTAACAGAATTTAACAATAATCTTCTTGCAGAAAATGCCAATTGAAACTTACAAATGTCTAATCTTCCGAGGTTTGTGATCGGTATGAATTCATGGCCTTCAAATTCGAATTACACGCTGCATTGTCATTGGTCGGCTTTCAAAACAAGAACAGGACATTTCCGGTAAGATTATTGTTAAATTCTGTTTAAAGAAAAGTATATTATGTAAAAATTATCGCTCTTCCGAAGTAACGTAATTTGGGGAGAATGCGACAGCCGATGTTTGCGTTATTCGATTGATTTATGTCAGCGTTTGTCCCAATTAGTCCAAATAACGGTCAAAGTGACCAGCCTTGTATTATTTCTTGCTGCTAATCCTCATGTCAACCCCAACTATGGCCGTTAACCTCTTGTCGACGCCAATCTTGGCCGGTTGTCGTTAAAATCTTTCAGGAAACACATGTAAGTGCTTTTCATTATACTATTATATAAAGATATAACGTAATAAATTAATAACACAGGATTTTCTAATGATTTTCAATATACTATTTATATAAAGACATATAACGTAATAAATTAATAACACGTACAGGGTAAGATTGGGCCGCTTGTGTACTGATTTAAGAGCGAAGGTCCACTAATATCGAGCATCAGCCGGTCACGCTCAAAGTTTCGATTTTGCTCATTTTTGGTTTGCTGGAAGGCATTACCAAGTACACAAACGTGATGTAGTTTGTTTTTCAAAAACCCCCTAAAATTCTGAGAAATCCGAGGAAAACGATTCAACTGTTGGCAGCCTCAAAAATATGCAAATGTTCAATTGAATCAAGCAGGTTCAAAAACAATTAACTAACGCATGCAGAAATGGAAAAGATATGAAAACTGTACGTTTGTAAATCGATGGTAGAGATGTTTGAGACTTGATCGAGTATAAAATCATGATTTTAGCTATTAATTAAAACCAGACAGCTGATATTTAGAATCGTATGGTATTCACACATAGCGAAAATTACAATCTACCGTTGCCACGCAAAAACCATTTGAACTAAGTGCCCCAATTTTTTTCGATACTTAAATATACGCCATTAAGGAATTAAATGTTCTTCTAGAACATATAAAAAAATTAGTTTGGGTTATTGTATTTAGAGTTCGTACGGAGGCCATGAATATTGGGTATTTTCGATATATAGCGTGACTGAAATCGACAAATGTTTTGTTCCTTCCGGACAGTTCCGGTCGCTATTTTCTCATAAATAGTTGCTATTTTCATAATCGGGAAATCGGGAATTAAACCCGAAAATGCATTTCCTTAAAAATAGCTATTATTAGTAATTTACGTACTATTTAAAGCACGCGAAGGAGTGTTTTATTACATATAAAACACGACGCGTACGTAGCGGAGTGTTTTATATGTGATAAAACACGACTACAAGTTCTGTAAATGGCTTAAAAAACGACTCATCTTTATATACGAGTTCATTGGCGAAGTAATGTTTAAAATAAACTTTGTCTAAACCGAGCAAATCAAAGCTAAAGTTTATGTAAATTAACATGATTTTTTATCGCATTTAAAACCACGACACGCTTATGATTTTTCTTTGTGTTTTGCTCCTGAATTATTAATGAGTTTTTTAAATGGTTTTAGCAGTTACAGCATTCTTTAAGACTAAGTAGATAGTGCTATGACTGAGATAATTTCTGTATATTTTATACTGATTACATGGAGAGTTTTCAGCCCGGGCTGAATTTCAGTAAACCACAGTAAACCGAGCCGAAATAGCATCACGATTACATGGGCCTGTTTGAACCTGGGCTGACTTTTAGTCAGAGCAATATTTATCCCTTGTAGTAAACAAACCGCGGGGCTGAAATGTCACGACAGGGAAATCGGGCAAAACACTGCCAAACAAATTTTTAGGTACTTTATTGACTTTGATTGGCAGCAATAAAAATAGTGTTAATGGATCTTTCGCAGCTATTCCTAATTTTAAAAACTGCACTAATTTTGCGAGATATAAACAGAACCAAAAATCTTGTGATTGCTCTATCAGGAGAGTAAATCCGAGGGGCATTTCACTCGAAAAAAGCGTACGGGATTTTCGGATTTTTAAAAATCCGCGGATTTTTTAGCGGATTTAGCGGATTTTCCCGGATTTTTTAGCGGATTTTTGAAGAGAAAATTTGCTGGATTTTCCGGATTTGTTCGGATTTTCCGGATTTGTTCGGATTTTTTCTGGATTTTTGAAAATCTGTTGGATTTTCCGGATTTGTTTGGATTTTCCGGATTTGTTCGGATTTTATCTGGATTTTTTTTAATTATAGATTATAGAGCTAGGTAACGTTTTGAACAAATAATCTTAAGTTGTACGACGTCAACGTTATGCCAGAACGTCAGGGTCGAGCAGAGGACTGGGACTAGGACCACAGCCTTCAGAAACTAACGAAGGCTGGGCATGCAGTCATTTTGTTTAAAATTCAAACAAGTTCATTATTCTTTCAAAAACAGTAAAAGACAATGGTGAATAACTTTTGGTTTTGTAATTATATTTTACAACATAACGTCATTGTAACAAGAACACATATTTAGTAGTAGTAGGCTAAAAAAACTTAGCATATACTCGAGCGTATAAATGGAAATGTAGAGTGGTCCAATAATTACGAAATATAATGACAGCGATCACGGTAAGCGTTTAGCTTTCGCTGTCCGCCATTTTGAACGTGGCAAAGAACCTTTACGAGTAAATTACACCAAGTACTTCATATATTTTTTGTGGATTTGCGGATTTTTTTGAGGATTTTGAAGGATTTCTGTGGATTTTTGAAGGATTTCTGTGGTTTTTAAAGGATTTTTCGGATTTTGATGGATTCAACGGATTTTGAGGATTTCATGGATTTTTTCTGGATTTTTTCCGGATTTTTTGACGAAGTGTACGGGATTTTTGGAGTGAATTGCCCCTCGAGTAAATCTAATCGTACAGTACGGTGGCGCGCGATCGCCAATCGTGTCAGTTCTACTTGTTTCACCTGAGTTAGCTTCTTTAGAGACACTTCCCGGATAAAAATGCTGTAACTGCTAAAATGCTGTGAGTTGCTAATAAAGGGTGCCTTTTTATTTTTAACGGCATTTTTGGGTTTAAATTTTATTCCGAATGAAAATATAAACGAATGAGAAAATAGCGACCGAAAGGAACACTTGTTGATTTCAGTCACGCTATATCTCGAAAATACCCAATATTCACGGCCTCCATACGAACTCTAAATACAAGAACCCAAACTAATTTTTTATATGTTAATTCTAGAAGAAAATATGATTAGTTAATGGCGTAAGTTTCGTGAAGAAAACTTCTGGGGCACTTAGTTAAAATGTTTTTTGCGTGGCAACGGCACATCGTAATTTTCGCTATTTGTGAATACCATACGATTCTAAATATCAGCTGTCAGGTTTTAATTAATAGCTAAAATTATTATTTTATGCCAAATCAAGTCTCAAACATCTCTTCTATCGGTTTACAAACGTATAGTTTCCATATCTTTTTCCCACTTTGCATGCGTTACTTGTTTTTGAACCTGTTTGATTCAACTAAAAATTTGCATATTTTTGAGGTCGCTGACAGCCGAACGGTTTTTCTCGGGTTTCTCACCATTTTCACGGTCTTTGAAGTACAAACCATATCACGTTTGTTTACTTGCTAATGCCTTCCAGCAAACCAAAAATGAGCAAAATCGAAATTTTGAATGTGCTCGCGAATTCTCGATTTTGCTCCATTTTATTGGACATCTGCTCTTAAGTATGACACCTGATTTTCAAGTACTCAAGCGCCTAAATGACATATACAAGTAAACTATTTCATTATCATAAAATGGTATAATATGAGAAAGACATAGCACGCTTCTGTGTTTAGGTTTTCTCCAATAGTAATCCTGAAAAAATATAAGAGATGACCCTTGCTGGACCTCTAGGGAAAACAGTTTAGAACTGAATTTCATTTTTTTAAATAAGCAGGTTAAGCCTGGTTTTTAGCCTCATCTTATAATGTGTTTAACTCGGCAGTAAGATGAAAAGTGCTGTTAGCTTGGGCCATTTGTCCCCCCAAAACAAATGTCTCGCCCTGCTTTTAAGTTTCCAAAACCGCAAACGGTAATAACTACTAAGGCGGGTTTTAATTATACGTGTTGACAGAATGATATGCACTTTACATAACTTTAATATAAGACCTTTTTATATACACGGCAAAGTAAATTTAAAATCCTTTTGACATTGTACGTTTAAAAATTCAAACTTCAAAGACTTTCTACATGAAGTATTTTTCTGATCTATGTCACGTCCACAGAACAAACTATTTATATCTCTATTAGCGAGGGGGAGGCTTCTGTAATTGTGGGGGACAGGGGCGTAGGCAATCCCAAACTTTTCGGAGGGAGGGGACATGGTCATTGGTCTCCAGGAAATTTCTTCAATTATTAGAGTCTCCGATACGATATTTCATGCATTTTAGACACGTTTTATGATAATCTGAACGTCATGTACCGATTTGGTATATTTTATATCGTAGATGAAAATATTAGGAGATTACACCCCCCCCCCCCCC